CTTTAGCAAATACAAAGTCAAGCTTGTCGACTTGGGCCACCAAGAGTGGGCTGAGAGAGAGACAGACAGACAGAGACAGACGGAGAGAGACAGACAGACAGACAGACAGACAGAGACAGAGACAGAGAGACACACAGAGAGACAGAGACAAGAGACAGAGACAGGAAGGAAGGAAGGAAGGAAGGAAGGAAGGAAGGAAGGAAGGAAGGAAGGAAGGAAGGAAGGAAGGAAGGAAAGAAATAGGAGAGAGAGGAGAAAAATATTAGTACTTTTCCTCCATGTTTCTTTGTGTTTCATTGATCAGTTAGGGAAAGGAAGAGTCTGGAAATGTTGAAAAGCTGGATACATGAAACTTGTTACTTTGACAGTGACAAGGTTTTTGGAAAGAAGGCCTAGGTCCTACAAATAACTGGAGGATTAAAGAAAGACATTTTATATTCAATCTGATCACAGAGACAGTGTGGAGGATTTCAGCCACAGAATAGATCAGCAGAATCAGCCAGAGAGTAGAAGACCTCTCAAAAGAAAGCTCATTTCAAACCAAGAAGCAACAACAGGAAGATCCAAACTAGACTTTTAAGACCCCATGATTACCACTTACCAGGACTAAGGCTTCAAGCCACTTTATAGACTACCAATGTACCACAAGTCCAGAATGCTCAAATGTGTGGCCAGCATGAAGCCACAAAACTTTGGTAGTAGATCTCCTTTAGAAGTCAAATTCCAATGTAATTTCAGTAGTACATCAAAACTGTATGCTATTCACACATTTCCAGTCAAGTTAGTATAGGTAATATTATACTAAATCAATTGTTACCATACTAGAAAATTTTACTAAACTGAGGAGAGCTATCATTTACATGGGCAGTCTTCTTTTCAGTTTTTGTAACCCAATATTGTAAAAACCCAGGCTTTCCCAAATAGAACACATATACCAATTATATAAGTAATATGTGTGTGTGTATATATATATATATATAATTTTATGTATATGTATATATACTTGTGTACATATAAGTAAAATTTGTTATATTTTCTAGAGTATATATAATATCTATGAATTATATATACAAAATTTTTATTTAATTCCCTTAATTCTTATTACCTTTACAAAATTAAACATATGTGGATTATTGGTTGGTTATCCAAAGACGTTTTCTCTGTTTGCTTTTTTGAGATATTATTTTTCAAAATAAATAGTATTAAAAATAAAAATATTTGTGTTTGTGACCATTATTTTCTTTAATACAGTGAGTGATACCTCAATCACAGAGATTTTTCAGAAAACTGCTAAAAGGAGTCATGATTATCTTTATAATTGCAATCAATAAAAATGCCTATTAGTAAATCTTGCTTGAACTTTGTCTTATCACAAATTTCCTGTCAACCTGGAAAGGTGTTGCATGAGTATTTGCTATTTTAAGGCCATTTTCTTCACACATATTCAAAGACATTCCTTACTATGGGCTTTCACTTATTTAACTCACAACTGGTAATTCATTACTGTAATCTCATCAGTTGCTGTACTACTTAACATTGTGTAACAAATTACTCCCAATCCCAGTGGACTGAAGCTGTCACTTATTTCTCATGAATCTGTAGTTCAGGGTACCTATGCTCCTGATGTTGACCAGGCTCATTCACTTACCTGATGCCAGTTTTAGAGCTAGTTGGGGGATTGGATGATCTAGCATGATTTCAATGGGAAAACGCATATCTAGTTTACATGTGTGAACTATAGGTAAAGCTAAAGACTATTTTGGGAATGGCAGAAATATCCAAGAACAAAGTAGACAATCCAGGTACTATCTCAAAGCTCCCTTGAGTCAAGGACAGAGTGTGTAGGTTCTAGAAAGTGTGGAAAACTTGAGATATTAACACAGCCAATCTACCGTACATACTTAAAATCAGCTGTGGTGTTCCTTGTAGCTCTTACAAATAAGATTCATTAAGCCATCATAATGTATAATTAAATGTATAAATTAAATTTGGTGGCTAGATATTATTTGGTGGCACTCACATCCTAGGTTACTTTATTTCTCTTTATTTTCATTTTGGTTTACTTTGGTTCTGAAGACTGCACCTGAGGCCTCATACTTGCTGTACACATGTTTTACCACTGAACTCATTTTCCACTTCTTAAATTAAGCTGGATGCTGGTAGCTCATGTCTGGATTCCTTGCTACTCTGGAAGCTGAGATCCAGGGGACATAGGTTTGAAGTAAGACTGGGCATAAAAGTCCATTGAGATTCCATACCCCAAAATAACAACAATAAAAACAGGTCTCCAGGCATGGCTCAAGTAATAGGAATGCCATCCAAGCGTTGTTAACTATGATATAGTTAACCATAATATACTATATAGTTAACTATGTTATATGTTATAATATGCTATATAGTTAACTGTGTTAACTGCAATACTGACTGCCAATATTTTTTAATTCACCCTAGTCAGTACATAATTGACAAAAATGTGATAGGTTCATTGAAGTTATAGATATTGCCTTTAGAGAACTAATTGAAAGTCTTGATTCAAGATCCTAAATTGGTCTTGGTGTGGATGTAGCAACACAAATCCTCATACAACTCTTCAGCCTATTATTCTCACTAAAATAGTCACACAGTACATAGAGGTATATATGCAGTAGTACCCACACATAATACCATTTTGTGACAAATCCATTTATAAGATGTTCTTCTTCAGTATCCATGTTATAGAACAATTGAATATTTGCCATCTATGTATAAATTGTACTTTTGCATAAATATAAATTCATATTGCTTATTATTTGTGCTCAGAGAAAGGAAATAGATACTTTGTGGGAAACTCAGTTCTAAAGGAGTTTTTAGGCCTTCTTGAGATTCATTAAGTGGAAGTTTCAATAAGGAATTTATCAAACCAAGGCCTGTTACATAGTTGGAAGAGATAGCCAAGGTTAGTCAGATCCTGGCGTCTCTTTTGATAGAATTCAGATGGCTATGGTACTGCCAAAGTTATAAATGACAAACAGGCGCTTTGCTGAAACACATTTCCTTCATGGTGAAGGTTAAGTTTTATAAATTCTGTTGGTAAATTTTATAGATGTCAACTAGAAACAGCTCCTTTGGAAAAAATAAATCAAGACAGAGGGTCAGCAGTAACATTTGTTGCTTTAAATCCATACTGGTTATATCTTTACTAAATTATACCTTTTGAAATTCCCTATATAAGTAATTATTAATGAATAGAATGTTTAAACTGAAAGAATTATGAAAAATGTCTACCCTCTTTTTGCCCCTTAATGATTTTACTCCGATTCTTAAATACCATAGAGATACTTGAGCATTAGGACATTTCAGATGTAAATATTTGAAGCTTAGGACCACAACATATATTTTTTCATATCTAAAGAAAGAGATAGAGACAGGGAAAGAAAAGAGAGAAGGGAGGGCTGGGAAGGTGGCTCAGTGGTAGAGCGCTTGCCTTGCATGCATGAGGCCCTGGGTTCCATTCCCCAGCACCACATAAGCAAAAAGAAAAAAAAGCAAGAAGTGGCGCTGTGGCTCAAGTGGTAGAGTACTAGCCTTGAGGTGAAGAGCTGAGGGACAGTGCCCAGGCCCAGAGTTCAGGACCCACGACCGGACTCCCCCCCCTCAAAAAAAAGAGAGAGAAGAGAAGAAAATATAAGGAGAGAGAGAGAGATTTCATACTTGAAGTCCACAGTTGGGAGGAGGCTTAATTCTTTGTTGATACTATAAATACAATGAAGAGGACTCCATCCATATCTCCCACTCAGGAAATATGGAAGGATATTAATTATTTTAAAGACCTGAGAAATAGCAGTATATTTAAAAGCATATGCTTAACACTTTCATAAAGCATGAGCTATTATTTTTTAAAAAGAATGAAGGTCATAAAGCGGAATCATTTTTCAACATTTAAGGAACTGATTTTTTACAATTACAACAATGAGATGTACAAGTCATTATGTCGAAAAGCATACTTTACAACTTTGGTGGGAGGGGAGGATTGGATAGGGGGGGTGGGAGGAGTATGGGAAGGGATGGGAAGGGGAAACAAAGAGGAGGCAACAATGCTTGGTAAGAAATGTACTCGTTATCTTGCCCATGTAATTGTAACTTCTCTGTACGGTATTCTCACAAAAAAATTTGGTCTAGTATAAATCAATTCCCTATATTTAAAAATAACTGTTGGCAAAAATGATACATTATATATCTAATTATAATGAGCCATGGGCAACCTTGTATGAGCAGGAAGAGCAGGAGCCTTCTAAACAATAAGTTAACTTGTGATTAACATCTAAAGGGCTTTGAACACATGGTTTAATATATTGTCATATAAAAGTTTAAAAATTAATATAATCATTTTCAGGAGGAAAATAAAGATAACCATTGACCCTATAACTGTGTCTGTGTGTGTGTGTGTGTGTGTGTGTGTGTGTGAGAGAGAGAGAGAGAGAGAGAGAGAGAGAGAGAGAGAGAGAGAATGTGTGTGTTTGTTTTAACAAACAATTGGAATATTGGGAATTTAGTTAGCAAAAAATAAATCTTTTTTTATCATTTACTGAAAAGACATTATTTTATTCTACAAGTTTGGCTTTTTTGTCAGTCGTGAAGCTTGAACTCTGGGCCTGGGTGTTGTCCCTCAGCTCTTTACCTCAAGACTAGCTCTCTACCACTTGAGCCACAGCACCACTTCAGGTTTTCTGGTGGTTAATTGGAGATAAGTATCTCATGGACTTTCCTGCCTGGGCTGGCTTTGAACCATGATCCTCAGATCTCAGCCTGCTGAGTAGCTAGGATTACAGGCATGAGCCACCAGCACCCGGCTTCTACAAGGTTTTAAAATTTGATCTTTAATTTAAAGGACAGCATTCCTGGTATGTTTCTGACAAAAGAAGCCAATTTTCTAGTTAATTACTAGATACCATGAATTCTGCTGGAGAATATTGTCCCTAACAGTCAAGAGGCTACATTTCCATGCTCTGTCTCTCCCCTAGGAAATCACTGTGTGAAGCCAGAATCATGAACAGTTATCACAAACCTTAGATGTCTGGGCTGCTGGCATAAAATCTGATGTGAGCATCTCTACTTTTCCTGCTTTCTGGAAACTTCTGGGTTATCTTCCATGGGCATGCCTGAGAGGAAAATGAACAACAGGGATTTTGATATATGTTTACTAGAAGCAATGTATCCAGTTAATTACTTACTTATATCTTCTTCATTGTTTCTAAATCAATTGTATTTTATTTTTGTTACATGGATTTGCATGTGCATTTAATTGCTACATTGTGTTTCCAAAATAGAAAATAAAACTGGAGTGCTTTAGAATGGTCTCTAAATCTCAACCCCCTTTTACTGTGCATATATTTTTATCTTTTGGGGGTATACATGTGAGAATGTATGTGGCTATGTGATCACATACTTGTTAGGACACAGGACAAAGTCCCCATATAGTTAACCATGTCTCTTTCCTCCTCATGATTTCCCATTCAATATAGACCTTAAGACAATATAAATATTTGGGATGTTTTGATGTTTGGAGGTTTATGTGGGTATGTCATCATAAAAGTCACTTAGACAAAGCTTCAGTGATGTTCTCTTATTCTTGTGTAATAAACTCTTTCATATTTATAACTGATAAGGCGCTCAAATAATTCTATTGTTGATTTTTTTTTTGTCAGTCATGGGGTCTGAACTCTGGGCCTGGGCTCTGTCCCACAACTCTTCAGCTCAAGAATAGCACTCTACCACTTGAGCCACAGCACCTCCTCTGGCTTTTCTCTGCTTACATGGTGCTGAGGAATCGAACCCAGGGCCTCATGCATGCAAGGCAAGCACTTTACCACTGAACCATCTGCCCCACCCCCCATGTTATCTTATTAGAACAAAAAGAAACACCAATTTCTTATCAGCTGCTTACAGTTATTATACAGATGAGACTGTTAAAATGTTCCTTTTGGGGGGCCTTCTTGATCATGTGTCAATTCTTCTTGTATAACCAGAAGTAGAATTGTTCAGTCAAAATAGATACATATTTTAGTTTCCCATTTGAATGACATTCTGCCAAATTCTTTTCCAAAATAACTGTGCCAAATTATTTTTACCAGTCATCCAAGAAACTTAATGTATCTATCATCTTTGCCAACACTTGAGGCTTATAATTTTTAAAGGTTTTGCCAAACCAATGCAGGTCATTGGATCAATTTTTTTTAAATTTTCAGTTCCTTGAGTAGCAAGTATGATTGAATGTAATTTCCAGACAGTTACTGTTCAGTAACATTTCCTATGTGTGAAAAGCAAATAAGAAACAAAGTGATTATATTATTCTATATAGTCATTTTATTTTTATCTGTCTTGTAGATGATTGAAGTTATTTATATATTGAGTATCTATTTAGTTTATGAGGGTTTCCCCCCATTCTGTGATGTCTTTTAACATTAATCAGGGTATGTTTTTTTAATAATATATAGCAGATGTCACGATTAAAATTTTCCAACCTTTGCTGCTAAAGTATGTAAGTCCATTTTAGCTACACTGTTATTTTTGTGCTTGGTATTATTTGTTTATACTGATCGTTCCTAAACTTCTCATCAGTGATAGTACTCAAAACTCTGAAACTTCTGAAAAGGCATTTGGCAAGTCCCTCTCTCTCAAAATACTTAAGACTTTTCTGGAAAATGAGACATAAACAGTCAAAATATGATATAAATAGTCTAAAGGAATGATAACTGAGAATCTTTAATACTACAGCATTAATTTTCAAGTCAGTAGAATACACTATTAAAACCATGCCAACTTGAGGGACTAGTCTTGTAATGCAGAAAGACCGAGTTGGATCTAAAATGCAATATGTAAATACAAATGAGAGGCATAGCATTTTTCATCAGGGACATTTCTCAATTCATTATATCAGTTTTACTGGAATGGTACAAGCTTATGTGGAGGATTGGCTAAAAAAGAAATATAGATTGAGCTTGAGAGGACTTTAAGTAATTAAGACATTTGATTGACTCCATGCTATGTATAACAGACATCCCTTAAGCAGAAGGAGGGCATACACAGCCAGTGTGTAGTTTCAGGAAATTCATGGGAACCATGGTCCTGGAAATCTTAGGACAAGTATGCTCTAGACAAAATCCTGTTTTCTTTCCCTCCCACTCTCCTATAGTTTTCTTTTCTCCCCTAGGTCTTAATTATCTTTAGGTTGACTTTGTCTCCATGGGAGAGTCTATTAGTATTTAAAATATTCCACAATACTAATACTTTTCCTGTACTTATCAACTCCTGAATAAAATTGTCATCTCTGTCACGTGTATAATCCAAATGGGCAGTATTTTAACAGGTGCTCTGAAGGGTAGCTACCTGAAAAACACATTTACATTTGACATAATTTGCTGAAAAGGGTCAAGAAAAAGTAATCTGTTTTTTCTCAAAACAATGTGAGAAATTTCAGTGTCTAGAGTAGCCGGGGCAGAGAGATTGTTTTTGTCTCAAGAAAATCATTGATTTTTTTAAAGAGCCCCTTAAATGGCTTCCAGTGATTCGTACCAATGGTTTTTGTTTTTTTTTTTCATTTAGTGTGTGCTGGACTTAGTAACCTGTATTCACAAAACAGAATATGTCAAAGATGACATAACTTCCAAGATTTGGTTCCAAAAGGCTAAAATCCATTTCTTGGCCTCCCAGGGCACCCTATCTTGCTTAGAATTAATGTGAACTCTCCTCTCCATGTTGTAAACTGCACTATGCAGAGAGACTCACATGAAAAGGAACTTACGGTTTTAGTACGACAGCCAATGAGGAAATGAATTCTGTCCCCTACGACCTGAGTGAACCCAGTAAGATGACTTGTCTATCCTATGAGAATCCTTGAGATAGAGGACACATAGCCATGCCCAAATTCCCAATGCAAAAATCTTAGCGATAATAAATTATTTGTTGTTTGAAACCACTAAGCTTTGAGTAATTTGCTTTCCAGCATGTATAACTAATTCAGGCAAGTTCACAGTAAAACACTGTGCTATTACAGGAATCATAGGCTTATGGGATAGAAAGAGACTTTAATATCCACTAGAACCATGTGACTCCTTGGCTGTCTGAAGCCCTCAGCATATTCCTTCTACTAATGGTCAAGTCATGTTTGAGCACCAATTATGTTGGGAAATTTTCACTCAGGTTTGGACATTTCCCCACGAGTCATCATTTGATCATGCATTTTTCACATTTTTTGTTATCAGCACTTATTCATCTTGGCTTCTCATTGGAGATAAGGAAAAATACATTATTGGTTCAGACTGATGGGGGACAAAGTATGTAATGCCTGTTCTAATGACTCTTTTCGATAGTGAAAACATATCTCATAAAATCAAAATGGAAAATGACAACCTAATTATGCTATGAGACCACAATAAAGAGTGGGAACAAAAAGCATGATCACTGCAGTTGTAATAAATACCCACAGTATTTTTTTTAAAGATAAATCATAGCTGGTGAATTACACAGACATGTCAGTGATTTGACTTCTTTAGGAAGAAAATCATCACGATGATAATCCAGGTCGTAAAATTACTTCATGTTCTGCTCCTTGTTTCTAACAAGCTTGTGGCAGCTGCAGAGCCTCTTGGAGTCCCATCACATTTCCCAACAATGTTACTACCAGACTGAAGTCTCACAGTCAAATGTGATGAAACAATCCATTTAATAGCCGTTACAAAAGATGGGTTAGCTCCAATAGACCCTAAAGATAATTAATCTGGCAAGGACAACTGAAAATTTCTTGCATTTCTGGATGACTTACGTGTAGCTGAGACTGTTAATGTCTCATTCGTATCCCCTCTGGGACTCACCCCTACCGGAGTAAAACTGCTCCTCCAAAGTACTTGCTGTTCTCTGTCTGGGGGCTTTCATTCTGTCCACTTCTCAGGGAAAACCATGAGAGCTGAAAGGAAAATCAATCACTTTCAGGATTGAACTTGGAAGGTAAAGGCATCGTTTTCCTTGAAGCTCTGTTGGCAAAATTTGTAACAAATGTTCTACACTGTCTCCCAGAATTCCCACATCACATTTAAATAGCAGTTACCCAGCTATAAATACTTGATAATATAGTCTTTACTTCCTGGCTGCCTTTCCTTACTTTACTTTCCTACTCTACTACCAGTGTTAAACTGTAGTTTATCAGGATCTCTGAGATAGCTCAAATAAAGGCCTTCCTTCCTTCCTTCCTTCCTTCCTTCCTTCCTTCTCTCCCTCCTTCACTTCTTTTCCCTTCCCTTATGTTCCATTTCCCCTTCCCTCCCCTCCTACTCCTCCCCTCCCCTTCCCTACCCCTGCCTCCCCTGCCCTCTGACACCCTTCATTCCTCCTCCTCTTTCTCCTCCTCCTCCTTCTCCCTTTCTCTTTTTAAATGCTCTATAGTATTTGATCAGGACCTCCTACCTTTAGGCAAGCAGTAGTACTTGAACTGCATGCCCAGCAATCTTTGTTTTCATTTGTTTTTCAGATAAGATCAAAGGATTCTCCTATCTCTGTCTCCCAAATACCTGGGATTTCAGCATGCACTACCATAGTAGCCCTGGTGTTCAGTATTTTAAAACTATAGTGTCTGTATTTTGTACAATTGTTTATTTTTGTTTCAGATGGAAAGGTAAATACAGCTTCAATGAATTTTTGATTGTTGGAATCAGAAGTATTTTTGATGAAAATTTAACAAATGAGTAACTGAACTATAAGGAATATCTTGCTTATGGTTACAAAGTATTGACTCATTCATAATTCAACGTATTTTCAGATTCTAGAGCACTATTTTGATCACTAATCTCTGTTTTATGCAAATCATATTCTAATCCTTGCTTTCTTATCAGCCCTCAATACATTTTAGTTATTTTTGTGCTATTCTTAGTAACAAGAGAGTTATTAAAATAAAAGATTTACACAAAGCCAAAAGTGTACGGATAATTTTTGTTGTTTAATTTGTTTATCTTTTAGAAGTCATTGTGGGTATTGAACGTAGGGTCTTAAGCATACTAGGCAAACACTCTACCTCTGAGTCACATTTGTTGAATGTCTATATTTGAATACAATTCATATTTGAATATAGACTAAATCATAAAACAGTAGATTCAAATTAGGTCTTTAAGACATTCTTATGACACTTTACTTGGGATCCTAAAAAGTTGTGAGTACACTGTAAGAATGTCCTCCACTGAGAATCTACTGAAATTCACTGACCGATCCTTAACAAGGAAAATGTAATAACCTCACATGCTGGAGATCATGTGAATAAAATGCCTGGATGATTATGTAAAAACTGTTTCAGGATTAAGAAGGAAAAAGA